TTAGGTTAAATCCTGTCATATTTAAGATGGAAAACATGAAGTGCCTAGAACAGCAAGACACATAGCTCCCTCCATCAACACCCTACTTGGGGAGACAAAACAAATATATTTGCCATCTGTATTCTAGGTTTCTACTAAGAGCTCACTCTAAACTGAATAAATCAAGGCCATATTTTACCATTTGACCCAAACAACTACTTTTTCGTGTGTGTGCACACGTGTGTGTGTGTGTGTGTGTGTGTGTGTGTGTGTGTGTGTAGGGGGCAGAAGAATTCATTATGACTTCTCTGCCATACTCTACATTATCCCCCTGAGACAAAGTCTCTCACTAAGCCTGGAACTTACCAATGTTTGGCTAGGCTAGCTCGCCATCAAGTCTTTTTCTGCAGTGCCAGGGTTACAAGCATGTTTCCACCCATGCTTAGGTGGGTGCTGGGGATCCAAACTCAGATCCTCACACCTGCACAACAAGCACTATTACCCACTGAGCTATCTCCCTGGCCCCCTACTTCTGATTTTATACTAGATTTGGGGTTTTGCTGTGCTGGAGATCAAACTAAGGAAACTCACATTTTGGATAATGATGAAAAGTATGCTTAGTATAAGAAGGTTTTACTTTTTACAGTTTCATTAGAAAAATAAAGGTAGAGACCACATGTTGGGGCACATACCTGTAATCTCAGCAGTTGGGAGGTAAAGGCAGGAGGATTGAGTTTGAAGTAAGTCTGGGGTACAGTGAGAGTCCATTTCAGTTGAAAAGATGTTTGATAGGCTTACTTTTGGTTATCCAAACAGAAAGTACTCATCAAAATTGAAATAATTTTTCTTTTCTGTTAGTAGCACTATGTATCCATTAACAGAGGCCCACATCTTTTTTTAAACTATTTTTGTGTGTATGGTGTATTTGTGTCTGTGCAAGTACACAGGAGTATATGAAGGCCAGAGGTTGATGTTGAGGAGTCCCCCTTTGTCACGGTCCTCCTTACTTTTTGAGACTGTCAATGAACCCTCCCCAACCCCCCGCCACTTTCCCTGCTAGGGTTACAGATGCATGCCACTATGCCCAGCTTTCACGTGGGTGCTCACTCATAATCCAAACTCAAGTCTTCATGCTTGTATGGAAGACACTTTACGAACCGAGCCATCTCCCCAGACCCATGGTCTCAATTTAACAAGTGAGCGCCAGGCTTCTTTTAAACAGTACATTGGCTCCAATTCCCACTCTAAATTTCCACCATGACTGCATTTCCAACCAGGACTATGAAATGGCCAAACTAATCATTGTCTCTACTCTTACATTCTTCTTAATCTACTTTCCATTAGGGTTTCCAAGTTTTCCTAAATAAACAAATTGAAGGAAGGCACCACGTTGCTTATACCAAGCATCCAGATGCTTCCTGTCATCAACTCTGGAGACTTCCACCTCTAGGGGTGTTAAGGCAGAAGTTAGAGCTATAATGTTCTTGTTATTCCCATTCTTCAACCATCCATCAATTGCTTCATTTGCTTGCCTGTACATCTATGTGGAAGACAGAACTTCCCAAATTCAAGCTTTGCAATGCTGCTCCAAGATCTTTTCAGACTTCATTTGTGTGTATCGCTATTCACGAGTTTTATATACCAATCATTTCTTCAGCCTACTTTGATGAATAAGAAGTGTTGTCTCACTGATGGCAGCCACAGTAGCTGGTAGGAGGTGGTCTCAGCTATACCCGACTTCCAGAACAGATCCAAATATCCTCACGAATGAACTTCACACAGGTGTGGCTCTGGGAATCTCCAAGGGAAGAAAGTGATGGGTGAAAGTCAACTCAGTGTTAGTCTGCAGCAGGATTCAGAAGGGAGCCAACACCATTCTTCAGCAGCTACATGAGCTCAATGTTCAGGCCAGAGGGTCTCACAACCCTCTGCCTTCACGCAGCTCTTGTTCTCCCCTGCAGCTACTCCCTCTACACAATACAGGTCAATGTAGCAGGCCAGCTGGGGTCCCCACTGCTCCAGTCTTGTGGCGTCTTTTTTTCACCCTTTATCCATACCCTTCCCTTTTCCTTTTACCTGACGAAAACACAAGCAGGCCCGGTTTGCAGGGTCTCTGTGACTCAGTCTCCTGAGAGATGAGACTTCTAGGGGCATTACTAAGCCACATTATGGTTGTACCTGAATAAAGAATCAGCCTGACTCTTAGCACTAAGTTTAAATAGCCAAGAGTGGACCCAAACCCCAAGTTTGTTCCTTCAGATCTCTCAGGAAACTGTGCTCCTGAGCCAGGTCTCACTCACCCACACTTTTATTCAAAACCCTTTCTCCAGTATCAGTTAGGGAATTACAAGCTTGAGTCCACCCTTACTTATCTTCAAATCTTGCCTTTGATCCCTAAGCCTAAAATATCTCACAGAGAGTGTCAAGCACTCTCCAGTCTCACTGCTAATTCAAGCACACCTACATTCATTCACTATCTTGAGTAGAGTGCAAAGTGGAGTCCTGAGGGATCAAGGTCGTAGCTCAGGTCACTAGAACACATGGCTTTCAGTGCAAGGTTGAGAAAAAGTCATTTCTGCATGTTCCCAGTTATCTGATTACGTATCTATGCCCCTCTTAGTTCAGTGTATTTTGCTGTTTAACCCAACCTCCCACATTCTCCACATCACTTTTTTTTTTTTTTTGGACTTTTTGAAGCAGGGTCTCCCTGTAGCCCCAGCTGTCCTGGAACTCACTAGGTAAACCAGGCTGGCCTCGAACTCACAGAGATCCGCCTGCCTCTGCCTCCCGAGTGCTGGGACTACATGCTGGAACTACAGGCGTGCGCCACCACGCCCAGCTCACATCACTTTTTCATGCTGCTGCCACTTCCCCTGCTATACATGTCTCCCTCTTCTTCCTTTGTGGCAGCCCAATACTAATCACTAGTCCTATCACAACTGCTTTGTTCATTTTCTTTTTTTTCTTTCCATAATTGAGTACTTTCAGAGTCCCTTCACTCCCTCAAGCAATTGGTGTCTAAGGATTGTTGTGTAAATAACTGCTACTCTATTTTCCTACAGGGCTCACTACTGGATAGTGACTGTTGCTGCAGATAGCAATCAACTCTCAAGGTGATGATGTGGGATAGAGCCTGGTGCCTGAATACCAGTCTAACAGAGAAAAAAAGTCACCTCAGTGCTATTACAAACAAGTCTCTCCTCCACACTGCAAATATATCCATGGAAAGAAGGCAACCTGAATAAGAAAAAAAAAAAAAAAAACCCACCAATGATCTAACCAGAGAGCAAGTCTCACCACAAAAACATAAGCAATGTGAAAAACCAAGATATGTCTCCTTCAAAAATTACCAATCCTAGGGCTGGAGATGGCTCAATGGTTAAATAGCACTGGCTGCTATTGCAGAGGACCCAGCTTCAATTCCCAGCACCACATAGCAACTAACAACTGTAACTCCAGTTCCAGGGGACTCTAACACCCTCTTCTGACCTCCATGGACACTGCATGACAGATGCACCTAGATATATGCAGGCAGCACACTCACACACATAAAATAAAAATAATAAAGTATTTTTTAAAAAAATTTTTACATTACCAATCCCATAGAAACCCCAATGACAGCAACACATATGAAACTCTGTAAAAAAGAAATCAAAGAATGATCATAAATATGTTCCAAGAATTCAAAAACATGAATAAACTCCCAAATGAATTCCAAGAGAACAAAAATGCTGAATGAAGAAAGGAAGTTATTTCAGGATATGAAAATGGAATTCAATAGCAACCTTAAAATTCAAAACAATCTTAAAATTCATATGAAGCACAAAAGAGCACCATGGATAGCCAAAGCAAAAAGAGCAAAAAGAATACTGCTAAAGGTATTGTCATACCTGATTTCAAGTTATACTACAGAATCATAGTAATACGAACAGCATGCACTGGCACAAAAAGGGACATGTAGGTCAATGGAATAGAAGAGAGGACCCAGATGTAAGTCTATGCAAATACAGTCATATGTACCTTTTGACAAAGATGTCAAAAATACACATTAGAGAGGACAGCCTCTTCAACAAATGCTGTTGGGAAAACTGGCTATCTACATGTGGGAGACTAGATCCTTATCTTTAACCCTGCACAAAAATCAACTCCAAATGGATGAAGGACCTCAATATAATATCTGAAACTCTGAAGCTGCTAGAGGGAAAAGTCAAACGTCCATTTCAACATACAGGCTTGGGTAAGGACTTTATAAGTAGGATTCTCACTGCTCAGGAAATAAGACCAACAATCAAAGGGAGACCTCATGAATCTAAAAACCCCTGTACAAGAAATCAGGTAACTGAGAGAAGTGGCAGCCTGCAGAATGGAATAAAATCTTTGCCAGCTGTACCTCCAATGTAGATAATTTAGACTATATAAATAATTCAAAAAATAAAACACCAAAAAAACAAACAACCCAATCCAAACAAAAAAAAAAAAAAAAAAAAGGGAGGGGGGACCTAAAAAGGGCTATGGGTTACAGAACTGAAGAGAGTGTTCCCAAAAAGAAAGAAAAAATACAAATGACTAAGAAATATTTCTTAAAGTGCTCAATATCCTTAGCCATTAGCCATCAAGGATTCCATTTCCATCTGAGATTCCATCTCCAGTGAGAACACCTATTATCAAGAAAACAAACGACAACAAATGCTGGTGAAGAGGCAGGGAAAAGGGAACCCTTATTCACTGTTGGTGAGAGTGTAAACTGGTATAGCCACTATGGAAATAAGTGTGGCGGTTTCTCAAAAAGCTAAAAACAGAACTGCCATATGACCCAGCCATACCACTCCTTAGCATATATGCAAAATACTATATATTCTACTACAGAGATACTTGTACATCCACATTCACTGCTGCTCTATTCACAACAGCCAGGAAATAGAACTGACCTAGGTGTCCATCAACTGATGAATAATGAAACTGCGGTCAAATACATAATGAAATTTTATTCAACTGCAAAGAAAATGAAATTTGTAGGAAAATCATTGGCCCTCAGGGGTATCGTACATACTACTGCTACTTTGAAAAATGGACATATTGTCCAACTGCTTTCTACATGCTTGTCTTATATTCATAGGCCAGCATAGCCTTTGATAAGGAAGCTTCTCTTTATACAGAGGCAGTGGTTAAATGCTCAGCTCCAAATGGGACATCAGTATCATCCTTTCTAAGGTTCTGGGAATATGCCAGAATGTACAAGCTAGAGGATGAGGAGAGCTGCAAAATACTGTCTTCTGGGCATGACATGACTGTTGCACACATGAACTCACAGCAGCTGTGGTGACCTGTACAAGACCTGCAGCAGACTGGGGTTCATAGATGGGGGGAAGGGACTTGGGAGGCCCCACTCCTCCTATAGGGACTCTTAGCAGTGGCTGGGGAAAGGGGTGTCATTTTCTTCAGTGGGTAGCCTCTGCTAAGTTGTTTACACTCCAGTAAGTAACCCCTGACCTATGCCCATGCAGGAAACCCTAATTAAACTCACTGGGTCACACCCTCAAAGACATAAATAGGAGGGGACTTGCTGGAAAGGTTTCAGAGGGAGAGGGAAGATGAAAGATGTAAATAGGGGGTGAAAATGATAAAAATTTATCATCTCTATATATATGAAATTGTAAAAAAGCATGTTTCACACCCCTATTCTTCAAACCATTTCCTCCTACTTGTAATAGAAGTCTCTCCCTCCGGGTCTTAGGAAACCTCTGAAGCAATCTCAGCTTAGAGATGACAAAAATCTAAAACGCCCCAGGCAGCTTGTTTGCTTCCATTTCTACAGTACTTGGCACACATAAACTGATTAATTTTCTCATTAACACTTGTGACCTTAGACAAGTAACCTTCTAAGGTCTTGTCAACTTATCTTCAAAATGGGGATCAATATTACACCTAGTCACAGATATGCTCAGTTAAACGTAGTTGATGAATGAAGAACACCTGGAACAGGAGACCTACACAGCTAATCGTAACTATTACTGGCAACATCACAACTGCCACTTCTCCTCTACTTAACTATGAGCCCCGAGGGGTGGTTTCCTTTCGTTGCGGGGAGGGTTGATTTTTGTTGTTTTCCGGATAGCTCAAGTAAAAACTCAAGTGTTGGAAGGAACCCATCTACATTTCTCTAATATGAACTCACATAGCATGGTCACCAACTTGAGAAAATTCTCCAGTTGAAATTGTTCTTTATCCCTAGTGCCTTTCGCTGCTTTTTTCAGGAGATACCGTTTAATATGAATGTTCTGATTTCCTAAAACTGTTGGGTTTTTTTTGTTGTTTTGCAAATTTAAACAAGTTTATTGATATATTTCGATGTTAGAGGCAATGTGCTATTACCTAACAAATTTTAGCAGACATTTAATTGATAGATAGACCCCATACCCGCGATGATGATTAATGCTGTGCCGAGGCTGCGGTGCTCAGGTATGTGGTCTGGGATGAAATCAGCATTAAAGTTAGTGGAGTCTGAGCAACGCAGATTGCCTTTTCAAACATGGGATACATCACCCATCAGTAGAGCAACCTCTGTGGGCACTGGTCTGAGTTGATTTAGAAGACATATACAAAGTAAGACTCTGATTTCTTGCAAGGTTTAAGTTTTCATAAATGTCTTAAAACTATCTTTAATGCCGATTAAAAAACAGGTCCAGCAAAACCTAAAGTACTAAATAAAATGGGATAGCTATCATAAGAACACACAATGCAAAATCAAACTTGGGACTCTGAACTAATGTCCTGTTCTATCTTTTCTGGAGCTTGCTAACCCCCACTATATACTTAGACTTATCCCCAAAATCTGGTGAGCTAACTCCCAATAATGAATCTCTTTTTTCCTATTCACCTACCAATATAAAAACACAGAAGTTACAGACCAACCTATAATTACTTAAATTAAAAAAAAAAAACCATTTGATAAGTTTAGAATTAAGTATCTTCATGATATACAAGTGTGTACATACAATCACATAAATTAAACTGCATAAGATATATAAATACATTAAATTACATTATCAGGAAATAAGAATACTTGAAGTTCATTTTTCTTCTTGTTCTGTTTTGTTAATGTCCTATTGCTTACGTAGAATTAAGAAAATAGAAAGGGAAGAAATTACTGCAATTTTATTTTAAATTTCAAAATTACTTATTTCATATGTTTGAGTCATGAAAATCTAAATACATATATGAATACAAAGACTAATATAGGGGTTTTAAACCATAAAAAACTTACAATAATAACATTTTCAAGCCAAATTTGCTATTTTTATAACACAGGAGAAAAATGTTAAGTCCATTAAAAATTACAAAGGAAAATATAATAATGAATGACTTCAATATTCTCTTTTCCAAAATAGGGCTCTGAAGGTAGATTAAGTGTCCTTGTAACTTTAAAAATCCAGATCAAATGCAGCAAATAGATTTAAATTAAAACATTTTCCTTCTGTTAACAGTTTATTCACTATGATTCACAGACACTTAATGAAGGATCAGATCATCACTTAACAAACTTCTGGGTTAGAATCAATCAAAAAATACTTGGTCAAAGAAGTATCCAGGTCTTAGTAATGAGTATCCGCAAAGTCTCCACAAGAGGGTGCTCTTCGCTCTTCACTAAGCCCCTAGCCCATGCAGGTTTCACTACTGCTGTGGACACTGGGTCTCTGGAGTTGATTTGGAGGATACGTACATAATCGAGTGAGATTTCTTACAAGAGTCTTTCCCCAATTTGCTTGTGGTTTCTTTCTCTTCTTTCACTTCTGTTTGAAGCCTTGATTCAACAGTTAACCTACAAGCATTAAAATATTCACTCTGAATTCAAAGGTGGTTAAGAAAATAAAGAAACCCCTAGTAGAGTGGGCCTCCAATGAGTTATTGTGTTATTTTATGTATACAAGGAAAAAAACTATAGTAGACTCCAATACCATCTTGAAAACGAAATGGCTTTCTCTTTTAAATAATTTTTATATCAACAGGATTAATTTTTAATGTCTAATAAATACC